TCCCAAACAGTGAGGCAGGGGCCCGCGATTTGCTTTGGTCGAGACCCTTGAAACAATGAGGGCACCTGTGACGGCCAGGGACCCACAGTGCCTAGCGAGGGGTCCTGTGTTTGCAAGGGGTTTCGAATAGGGCAGAAGGACATTTGCTGAACAGGGACAAAGACGGGACTTCTAATGGCAGGGACCCTTGAGTTGGTCGGCGCCCTCTCACAATGCAATGAGACATGATAACTTATGAGAATCCACAACGAAACAACGGAAAGGCCTGTGTGACTCAAGCCCACCAGCATTGAGCGGTGGGACCTCAAACCCATTTCAGCCAATGACCCATTAGGCCAAGCTGAAGTGTCTGTGCCAATTATTGGCCCCTGCGGCGATAAGAAATCTCGTTTCGTCAATGAGGGCCCTTGCGTCGATCCGGGTCAAACTGCCTGGGTCAAAGGGTCTCCTGAGTCAGGGAGGGGACCAATAAATGATGCATAATGAAGGGGCCTCCTGATCGAGCAGGGGGCCCATCTCCGTGTCGCCAGAAAGGCAGCCGGTAGACAATCCGCGTTGGGACGGAATGGCCCTTCAGCCGTTGGCCGGGAACGAGAATGGGCCTGCTAGGGTTCTACCCACGGGACCCCTCCCTCGGAAAAAGGTTAGGGGTCTCATTAGTGTTCAGTAGAGTGAATCATAAGGCCAAAAACGAAAAGGGCCCAACCATGTTCGCTTAAGAACGCACATCCTTTTGCAAAATCGAATCAAACTGTGAAATTACATTGCAAAGCTGTGAGACCGCGCACTCGCAATCTTAGAAGCAGGAGCAGCCATGGCTGGGGTTGCAGTTTCTATCAAACCGGACGGCATTGGCTACTGTAGATGACACCAGGCGGCGGGCATGGACGCGCGAGAACTACCGTCGTGAAGTAACGGTTCCGAAGTCTTACGAGATCAGTTTGCATCGTTTAATGATAAAACTGGTGCTTGCAATCAATATAAGATATATAATTAGACTGGTGCTGTAATAGTCTTGAGATTGTCCTCTGACCAAAGGAACAGTTACAGCAACATGAAAAATAGAGATTCTGCCTCAACTTTTCCTATTCCACCGCCGGATTCCAGCGCCAGTTCGCTGTCCTGTGAACACTAATCCGTTCCTATTATCAATATAAATCGCACAAGTGACGAATACGGCCGAATTATTGTCTAAACGCACGAATTGATGCCCTAAAGCGTCCAAAAGTACTTACTTTCTACGAGTCTACCACTTACACCTACCCACATTAAACAACTGAGATTAAAGGTTGAACATTTGCAGACCAACTTGGGTTGGCCATGTCGATACAAAATTGCGAATCCGTTTTGATCTACAATCTTCGTTCACTGGGGCGCTCAATATGCCTTTTTGAACCCAGAAAAATGCTTGCAAAGCCTTTGAGTTCTATCGGATTGGAGTCCGCTGAACTTTTGTGAAACTAATAGCGCGGGCGCAGTACTTAATGCAGTAATTGCTTCCTCATTTGAATAACTTCAAAACATAAACAGAGTTAAATCTTCTGGAGGTTTCTGGCTTTAATTCCGGTAAAAATGAAAAATAAAGATACAGAGAAACAATCGTGGTAACATGTTCCCGGAGATCTACTGGGCGATATCCGGTGTATCTTGTTGTTGGGGAGAGTTGCGGACTTTCACCATCAGGAGGCTCTTTTTCAGCCTTATGCCCTCCCCCTTACCATGACTCTGCCTGCGTCCCTGATTTCAGCTTATTAAAGGGCCGTTTGTCAAATATGAAATCAATTCGATCGGTCACTGCGCTCAGCTGGTAATCATTGCGACAGTACACAGATCGCAGATAGGTGAGGATCAGCGATAGAATATATTTCACCCTCGTAAGAGCTCATTCGATTTGGTTACGCTGGTCAAAGGGTTGAAAATGAGACAACCCTGCAGAAAGATAAGAGAGACAGTGTCCCCGTTTGATATTGGTCTGGCAATCTCTGACAATGACAATATCCCACCCCCTGGATCCCTGGTCAACACAAGGGGTCTTTTATTGACTTAGGGGTCCAAAACTGATGTAAATCGCGCGCCCTGGCTTTGCCCCGATTTCGGAAATGAGCCTTCAGGTCCAGAACGACACGGAGCCGACTGGTCAGTGCTAGTGACGCCTGACCGACAGAGGCTTTTATCGACCCAGGGGTCCCAACCGACGCAAAGGGCCCTCCGATTTTCACTTGAGGGTGCGACCCGCAAGGCAGGTCCCTTAACGCGACATTCAGTCTGCTCCCTTAAAAATATGGTTACTTCAAGGAAGCATAACAAGACCAACGCACGCAGGGAAATCAAAATTGGTGGTATAATTGAATGTGACTGCCAAGCACAGCATAGTTTGGTAACCTATGGCCACCTGTTGGTCGCAGCGGTGTCATCTTCTAAAATCGGTTGGGGTGGCCGGCCCGATAAGGTTGATCAAGTCTACCCAAAATCTGATTTCGCGTCGGACTTTGGCCACTATAATCTGCGCCCGATGGAGAGAAAAATGTGTGGTGGATTTAAGGCTTGTTTTACTGAGAAGAAATTACTTTCCCTTTCAAAGCAACGTGACGCCCCATTTTTTTTTTTGTGTGTGGAAAGCATAGCATAGATGCGAATCACAAAAATCGGAATTCGAACACTTGTGTTCAACAAACATAGATATCGCTCATTGCTCATCAAGCGTAGCTCGAGATGCAAAAAGACGGCGTTTTGTAAAATGGAGTGACCAGACACGTATGGACGTGTCTGTGGCCCTGTGGAAAATTTGCGAGTACATTTCCACGATGCACGTATATACAAATGTAGAACGCAACTTGCACGACCTTCCCAACAGACTTGTCGGCAACTGGAAGGACAGAGCAGGTGAAGGTTGAGGACCGACTAAGTATTCAGAGTGACTGTCTTAAAACAACGGCGTGACGAACGGCTTGATACGTGTTGGAAGGCCATCTAAACAAGAAAGGCCCTGCATCTTGGGGTTTCGGATGATGGGTAGGGAGTTTTCATGGTGGAAATAATCGGCCTTCAGTGTACCAGGAGTAAGTGGTTGAATGACGTTATCTAAAAAGTAGTTGTTATATTGAGGACATTCAACATTTGGAAGCCGTCGTCATGGTCAGCTCATTCCCAAAAGTCGATCAGCACCACCACAATATTTTTTGCTATGGAACACGCCGCACAAAATATGTTGACTTCATTCCTCGGCACCCTTCTTGTGATGCAGCCAGGTGGTAGATACACCGTCGGGCTTTACTTTAAATCACCCCATCACGCAATGTGCCTCCCGATAGTTCAGCCGGTCTGAGCATCTCCCTTCCGATTCACCATTTACCGATCTGTGGCTGGGGGGGGGGGGGGGAGGGGGAGGGGGGGGGGTCGAGTCACTTAGGCATTCGCTACTTGTCTTCCACTGGCATAGCCTGTGGCCAGTGGCAGCAGCCGTACTAACAGTCAGGTGACGTCAGAGGGCAGGATGGACCGTACTGAGCGTTACAGCATGTTAAGCTTGCGCTGCAAAGTTCTATGGTTGACCCGGAATCACTGATGACTACCGCTGTCGCTAGCTGTGTTTTGCCATTCGCTTGGCAGTCGAATGCCACCACATTCACGATCGTGGGACAAATGCACTTGCCACTCTTTAGGGACAAACGCACTTGCCACTCTATAGGGAAACGTGCTAATCTGGGCCACCCTGTACATCTAAAGGCTGCCATGCATTGCAGTCAGTTGCTGTTGTCCCAATCCAGGTATTATCCTGTGACAATAGTGTCAAACATTTACAGCATGGCATAATATATGACGGAGGGGCATATCAAATATAAGGTGGCTATCGGTTGTCATCGGTACAAGACGAACGCGCTACTAATGGTGATGTGTCTATGCACCTAGCGTACCAATAGTTCTGCAACTTTTCTTCTGAGTTTATTTGGCCCAGTATTCCCTTTTTCCTCACATGCATCGGAGGGGCTCAGGGGAGCAATGAGGGGCTCAATTTAGCATTAAAAGGGGGGGGGGAGGAGCTCAGCGTACCCCCACCCGAAGCGTATGAAGCGATGCTTCTGTGTCGGCGTCATAATGCGATTTGCAGGACGGGCAGAACAAGCGTCTGGTCAATAAGTGAACGATTTTGACCTATGAGACAATTCTGCAGCGTATAAGTATAGCAGACATTGCTAGCGATCGCAAGGTCTGATAACTGCTTAGGGTAGCATGATGTAACTCCAAGTTTTGGGTTATCTTTATGAAACGACCGGAGTTTCAAACATGCTGGTTTTTGTTCCATTTGACGTTCGAGTGCTAGGTGCTGAAGCTTCACGAGCTTACCGCCAAGCCATTGTGCAGCTTTCTGTAATGAGTCTGATATGTATGCAGACTTGTCGCGATTAATGAACATTGTGTCACACGACGACCAACAAATTTTCACACAGGTGAACAGATGTTGGCTTCAAATGACGTTGGTATTTTGAGAGAGAGCGCGTGTCAGTGTGACGGATTTGTTGAAGTGCATAGGAGTAAGGAAACTGTGACATCGTGACATGCATACCTATGATCCTCGACGTCCGAGATGCACAAGTTGCGCGCATACGCCGTGCTGACAACTGTCCGCAAGCACATTGGCAAACTGCACCGTAAACACACTGACAGACTGCAACGTACGCACACTGACAGGCTGCACCGTACGCACACTGACAGACTGCACTGTACGCACACTGGCAGACTGCATCGCACGCACGCTGACAGACTGTACCGTACGGACACTGGCAGACCGCACCGTACGTACACCGACAGACCACACCTTACGCACACTAGCAGACTGCGCTGTACACACACTGGCGGACTGCACCACACGCACACTGGCAGACTGCACCGCAAGCACATTGGCAGACTGTACCGCAAGCACATTGGCAGACCGCATCGCACGCACGCTGGCAGACTGCGCTGATAGTCCTCTCTCGCTCTCGGTTACCGTCTTTCTGAAGGTGGTGACCGTGAAAACCGCGCCGTTCCTGGGCCGATCCTGGACTTCGACCAACACACCTTACGACCAGATGAACAGCGACATCAAGCGCTACCACGTGCGCCTGCCGTCCCAGGTGCGGAACACTGCGTTATACGCTTTCGAGAGTAAGCTGCACTGCTGTGGCGTCAATGGACCCAAGGACTACATAGTTACCAAATCCAGCGCCTGTTACGCCATCCCTCAGTCAACGGACGTGGCGAATAACTCGATCGCTATTCCTAGTCCATTCAAGAAAAACTCCAAGGACCCTGACTCAGGCTCGAAATCCATGCCGCCGTCGAATACCGCTCTAGAGACATCTGTCGGTGCAGCTCGCATTAATAGTTTTGTAGACAGCCACCAGGCAGCAGAAGGGCCATCCGGTCGGGGCTCGGGCGGAGGCGTGTACCACCACGACGGCTGCAAGAGTCGTGTCACGAAAGTATGGGAGGGGGCCAAGATCTCGTTTGACGCCACGGTTACAGCCATATTCTGGAGTTTTCTAACTATAGTACTCACCATTATCTGGAGTGAGTGTTGGGGAGACGGTATGTTGACTGGCATGAGCTGGGGCAAAGAATGAGCTGTCTCCTACTTCTCGGGAAAGAGCGTCCCAGTTCTCATTTAAATAAGAAATCGACACATTCTGAGCCGAGTCGCGCCAAGACTGTTGTCTATTGATGTCTTCTAAAATACGCTGTGAGTGTTGGCCTATTTGTAGTACTACATCTCGTCTGATTATTCATATTTTGTCCAGTGAAGGTCTGTATTCAATAAAGCGCGAATAGCTAAGTTTCGAAGTGAGTGTCATTGCGTTTTCCTTTTCATGGCTGCTCTTACCTTGTGCGGCATGGAGATGCTACGGCTAACTTGCATGACCATTGCTGGAATCAACCGGTGATAAGGAGCAGTTTAGGTTTATGAGGAGTCTGAGCACCGCTCAGGTTGAGTAAATGAATGTTAAGAAAGGTGTCATCGAGAGCCGTGACAGGAGACGGGGTATGGTACAGGTGAGTGAAGGGTAAGTCGTGGCAAGCGCACCAAGTTGTTGATGTTACCAGACCAGCTTCCTGAGGAACAGCCAGAATGTTTCTACAGGCAAAAAATGGCGGAGCCGGGTAAGGATGCACCGCGACAATTTCTAACTTCCTGTCCGGAGCCATCTTTGGTTAATCAAGTAAAATGCAGACCTGAGGGAGACACTTCCCAAGGTTGCAGACCTTTCCTCTCCTTGGCTGCCGCCCGGCAGGATCACATCCTTCGTAAGTGAAATAAAACATGATCTGCACAATTACGCTTGAGGAAAACGAAAAAAACGTGATACACAGTGAAGACACACAGAGATAGAGAGATGGAAGAATCACACGATGACGACACAGTAGCGCAGCCTGCAGCCGCCGGCAGCGCTCGGGTGCCACCGCGGCTCCAGGGCGGGGGGGGGGGGGAGGGGAGGGGAGGGGCACGGTCGTCAGCGGCGGACCTCGCGCTCGCAGTCTCAGGTCCGCCGTCGCTGGAGGGAAGTCGGGGTCAGACTGTAGAGGCACATGCACTGGAAGGTTGGCGGCTGCCGCGGCACGGGCAGCCCAGGACGGGCGGTCGGACCGGGTCGCCCAAGCGTGCACATGTAATGCAAAACATTTGACAGCGGTTTCCAGGACGGGTGGCATAGGCGTCGCGTGTCGCATGGGATGCATAAAATGCAGCCTTCCAGATCCAAAATCAGCACCATTTCTAAATAAAGAGCCCACGTAAATTTTCCGCGATGGGCTATCACATTTCGACCATTTACCTTCGCCTGACCCTTATCCCCCCCCCCCTCTCTCTCTCTCTCTCTCTCTCTCTCTCTCTCTCTCTCTCTCTCTCTCTCTCTCTCTCTCTCTCTCTCTCTCTCTCTCTCTCTCTCTCTCTCTCTCTCTCTCTCTCTCTCTCTCTCTCTCTCTCTCTCTCTCTCTCTCTCTCTCTCTCTTACTGAGTTTAAAAACGTTCAACGCCCCGTTCAGCATTACGTTTGATTGTCGTGAAGCTCCACGGTAAAGCGGCTGTATTGTATTGTATTGCATTGTATTACTTCCGTAGAACCATCCACAAAGGAGCGTGGCTATTACAGCCCCGTGTCAAAAGTACAGGAGATGAGAACATGCAAGTAAAAAACAAAACATGTGGCACACAGGTACCCATCACTGGCCACCAGTAACATCAGCGCGCGCCTCCCATACAGGTGCGCTATCACCGCGCTCACAAAACGCTGCTGTGTTGGTTGTGTAACGTCGGTTGGCAGTGCGTTATATACTGTTGGCGCGTGATACCCAAAACGTCTCCTACCTACCTCGGCTCTCGGCTTAGGGATGTGTAGGAGTTTGTCCCGCGGTGTGAGTCCGCGCACGTGTGTCGCCGCGTAACGCAAAAATGTCTCTCAGCATATCGGGCTCGCCGTGCAGCACTACCTTAGGAGCCAGGGTGACCGCTCGAAGCTCTGCCATGCGCCAAGGGCATCATCCATCGAAGTATCTCACGCATGTCACGACACATGGCCAAATTTACGTCGGCCACAAATCACTCTGGCAAAAAAGTTTGGGACCTTTTGGATTCTATTCAAGTCTTTCTGTGTGCCATTCGCATAAGCCGTGAGACAGCACCTGACCTGTATGAGCACCGACGCCGCCACTAGAGTTTTGGATGACGCCGTCTGAAAGGCAGCGCCGCGCGTGGGACAAGCCCATCAGCGCGACCATACAACGGCGGCTGAGCTTGGACACGTTTAAGTCTCAAGACAGGTCGTTGTCAGAGACGATACTCAAGTTCACACCTTCGCACACGGCCGTAGCGTAGCGCCGCAAAAAGTTACGACCAAGTCTGGAAGGGCGTGCAAATTTTGAAGACCGCCGAAAGTAACAAGTTGCGTTCCATGCAAACGGAATCAGTAGTTGAGTGACGCAAGCGATGTCTCTATGCGGAAGATAAGTTCCCTGGAGTCGTCCTTTGGGCCGTTCGCCAAAACCTTGGTGTCATGTGCATATTGAAAAACAGGTGCCTTTTCGCGTACAAAGACGGATCGCTCGAGGAAGCTGTGAAAAGAAGTGGGCCTAATGCTGAACCTTGGAAGACACTCATGCTGCTGGCAAGAGGCCGTGACAGCTCCCTATGTCCAAACCCATCATTCAGGTACACACTCGGGGTACGCCCCTGAAGATATGCGGTGAACCAGGAGGTCTCAATGCCGTGCATCCGCAGCCTCTGCATCAAAATTTGGTGATCGATGGTGTTAAAGCATTAACTTAAATCGATAAGGCACACTAGTGAGGCCTCCCCTATCGGTGGTGCCAATTCAGAATGTGGTTAGAGACCGACACTAGCGTGAGATTGCCGTCGAGTGACGAGTTCCGGGACCGGCACTGGAGAGACGTAACGGGATAATTGCAGGATGATTAGTGGTTAAGTCGCCGTTGGACGACGCGTTCAACCACTTCGGTGATGACAGAAATGAGGGATATAGGACGGAAATTGAGTGGTTGGGATCGGTTACCGGCCTTGAAAATAGGATGGACCGTGGAATGTATCCAAGCGCTGGGGAAATCTGCATGGACAAGGCAGCAGTTGGCAATGTGGTCAAGGATGAGGTCACCGATAGCTGGGAAACCTGCCGCCGACGCCGACGAAAAAAAAATGCCGACGCGCTGGATCGCTGTGGTCCTTCTGCAAATCACAGTTCAGATCACCACCATCACTTAACATAATTAAATCGCAACATGGTCCCTTGCCGTTTTCCGTGTTGAAATGGAAACTAGCAGCGAGCGCCGCCGCTTGTCGGCGTTCACACGCGCCTCCCATTACACTCTCGGACGGTGAGCGTCCACAGCCCGGACAGGGTTGAGTTGACAGACACCCGCGCCTCCCATTACACTCTCGGACGGTGAGCGTCCACAGCCCGGGCAGAGCTGCGTTGACAGACACCGCGCCTCCTGTTACGCCCCTGGCCGGTGGGCGTCCACAGATCGGACAGGGTTGCTTCGGCGGACGTCTGCGCCTCCTGTTACGCCCCCGACCGGTGAGCGTCCACAGACTGGACAGGGTTGCGTCGGTGGATCGTCTGCGCCTGCTGTTACGCCCCCGGCCGGTGAGCGTCCACAGACCGGACAGGGCAACGTCGGCGTTCACACGCGCCTCCTGCCACGCTCCCGGCCGGCGGGCGTCCACAGACCGGACAGGGCTGCGTCGGCGGACGTCTGCGCCTCCTGTTACGCCTCCGGCCGTTGGGCGTCCACAGGACCGGGCATGGTTGCGTCGGCGTACGTCTGCGCCTCCTGTTACACCCCCCGGCCGATGGGGGTCCACAGACCGGACAGGGCTGCGTCGGCGAACGCCGGGCCGAACTACGGACGCTCGTGCAGGGCAGCGATGGACAACACATGGCGTGCCTGATAGCAGGGACTGAACCGCGATCTCGGGGCACGTGTCTGCTGCCGATCTGGTTAACACAGGCCCTGCCAGAGGCTTGCGTGCCGCGCATGAGAAGACATTTGCATGGCAGTCGGCCCTCAAAGCACGACACGATTGTGCTCCTGACACGACTTGGCATGCTCTCTCTCTGATGAGTTTTTTTGGCACTGATTAATTAGAAGAACACCTCAGCCCACCATCACGCCAGAGGGGAGCATCATTAACAGACACGTTCGCATGATTATCAGTTGTGGGGAGCAAGGCGGTCGACGCTACATTGTTTGATCGAGGACTTTGTTATCGGACATTTCTCCAGCTCAAGAATGCTGTTCGAAGACGGACGTCATGGATGCAAGCTGCTTCGGATAGAAACAATTCCTGAAGAACTAGGTCTCAGATGGCAACATTGCATAACAGTGTGTGCTGTTTGTGTATTGTGCATGTGCTGTTTGTGTATTGTGCATGTGTATTGTGTGCTGTTTGTGTATTGTGCATGTGTATTGTGTGCTGTTTGTGTATTGTGCATGTGTATTGTGCATGTGCTGTTTGTGTATTGTGCATGTGTATTGTGTGCTGTTTGTGTATTGTGCATGTGCTGTTTGTGTATTGTGCATGTGTATTGTGCATGTGCTGTTTGTGTATTGTGCATGTGTATTGTGTGCTGTTTGTGTATTGTGCATGTGCTGTTTGTGTATTGTGCATGTGCTGTTTGTGTATTGTGCATGTGCTGTTTGTGTATTGTGCATGTGCTGTTTGCGTATTGTGCATGTGCTGTTTGTGTATTGTGCATGTGCTGTTTGTGTATTGTGCATGTGCTGTTTGTGTATTGTGCATGTGCTGTTTGTGTATTGTGCATGTGCTGTTTGTGTATTGTGCATGTGCTGTTTGTGTATTGTGCATTGCTGTTTGCGTATTGTGCATGTGCTGTTTGTGTATTGTGCATGTGCTGTTTGTGTATTTCTGTTTGTGTATTGTGCATGTGCTGTTTGTGTATTGTGCATGTGTTGTTTGTGTATTGTGCATGTGTATTGTGTGCTGTTTGTGTATTGTGCATGTGTATTGTGCATGTGCTGTTTGTGTATTGTGCATGTGTATTGTGTGCTGTTTGTGTATTGTGCATGTGTATTGTGTGCTGTTTGTGTATTGTGCATGTGTATTGTGCACCGTTGTGACATGAAATCAGAAAAAAATCGGAGATCAGCGTTATGAATTACACTTAAGTCAGCATTGAACGACAAATATGCACATCCGAAAGAACAGCAGAGCTGCTTAATTTTGCATGAAACGCATGGAAGTTTGTCCGTCCCGGTGGCTCAGTTGGTTAGAGCGCCTGCCTTCCGATCCACCCGCCCGTGGCTGGGTGGGTTC